AGAGTGCCGTGATTTCTGGGTTCTGACATGGTGTAATTTCAGGTTTGTGATCTGCCAGTGCTCAAATCGCTCCTGTGTGGCTTTTTTTTTTTTACAGATGGGACCAGGGCGTCCTGGTTTGTAGCTTCCGTTATGATGCAGGAGTGGAAATCTTTTCTTTTCCCTATTGACCACGAAGGAATTTAAGGCTATTGGGATGATTTCTTTCATCTCCAGGCCACAGGAAGTAATCATTTTGGAAGCATTTCCTGTGACCACCGCTGAAATGCCAGGGCAGTTAACAGTTGTGTGCTCCATGGGAAAGCTCAGCAGGTGCCTGTCCAAGTCCCTGCGACCCCGACAATGCTGACTCCCCAACACTGCTTCCCCCACAGCATCACTGATGTTTTGGTCCAGATGCTTCATTGTCCTGGGATCCCTTTGGTGGGGAAGATGCCTAGTGGCACCTCTAGCCTCTAGGCAGTAGCACCCCAAGGGGTGCCATTGTGGATGCCTTGTGTCCCCTGGGGGCAGAGTTATCCCAGGCCTGGAACTGGCCCATCCAAGTGTCTGGAGCAAACTAAATGCTATCCTAATAGTCTTTGGCTAGATATTTTCAGCATGTTGATTCCTGGAGCTGCACTTCCTGTCAGGTCCCATGGTAATTGAGCTATGTGCACATTCCTACTTTCCTGCTTCTCCAGAATGAATGCTTTAGCTTTCTGCTTCCGACTGCTGATTGTGTTTGCAGCTGAGACCTGAACGCCCTCCCACTCCTGAAGGCTCATTATTTTCTCTTCATCCAGAATGGTTTCCCAGTCTCCTTCCAGTTTTCTTGCCTTCAAAGGCCCCCAAATAACCTCAGCACTGGCTTGGAAGACCACAGGTCCTAAACCTTCACTGGGATACAGTACCTTTTTCCTAAAATTCACTGTCATGTCCCCACTCCTCTCCTTGCACCCCACCTCCGTTTTTTCTTCCCTGACTACTCTGTACAGTTCATGGGGACAGTTTGAATGTAATTCATACACTGCTCTGAACGGGAATGATGCTTTGGCATCAGAATTAAAACCCTTGAAACTTTAAAAAGAAAACACCCCAGGGAGTGCCGTCCTTCATCCTCCCGTCCTTTCTCTCTGGTGAGTTCCTAGATTCAACTGTAATTCCTTAATTGATTTGACCCTTTGTCTTGTTTCTGAGGAGTTTAAGAAACCAGAGAACTAAGGCTAGAAATCCCCCTTTCTCTCCCTTCTGGTTACCCCACGCTTGGCCAGAGGCCACCTGTTCATTTTCTGTTAGTAATTCACATCCAGGAGAGAACCATTACTCAGCGAGTGTGCCCACCTGTGTTTATTTGTGGCAGCCCAGATTTTCTAAAACCAACCCTAAGACTGCAAGGCATCTGCCTCTGGGCTTCCTTCCCTCTCTGCTTCCCCACGTTCAGATTTTCGGATGAAAACAGGCTGTTCTGTGCGCAGGAAGAACACTTGCATCTGGCAAGTGTTGTATCTGGCAGCCTCCTGTTCTGAAGACTGAATTGACCCGTGGCTGTGTGCCGTCACTCTAATGGGCGGTGCCCTGGCTGACGTAATTGAGAGAAGGCAGCTCGTGTGTGTGTGTGTGTGTGTGTGTGTGTGTGTGTGTGTGTGTCCGTGTGAAGTGTCTTCTCTTTCCGCTTGTGACGACATCTGATGATGAGAGGCAGAGGGTTCAGACATGCCCAGTCACGGAGGAGCTAGGTCTGCTTGGGGGATCTGACCCATGGAACCTCTTGCTTCTCACGTCGGGCGGAGATTATCCGGATGTCCTGTCCAGCCTGGTTTCAGTCTTGGCCACAGATGGGTTCTGTGATCTAGGCAAGTTGCTGGAGCTCCCTGAGGAAAAGGAAGTTTCCTCTTCTGTACAACGGAAGTGTTTTGGCGTGTGAGCCCCAACATGGACGCCTTCTACGTAGCCTGAAGTAACCGCTCCCGGTGGTGGAGGTGGCAGGTGTGAGGTCAGGGCCGGCAGATTCAGTGTCTAATGGGAGCTCTCTGTCTAGTCCATGGAGTCGTCTCCTGATCGTGGCTCCACTCGACAGAAGGCCAAACATGTTCCCTTGGGGCATTTCTGCAGGGTTCTGCTCTCCTGACCCACATGTCCCACTTCCTAACACTACCACGATGGGGATTTAGTATAAGTGTGTGAATTTGGGCGACACATCAACATTCGGACTATCGCACAAGGCAACACCCCGGCTCTGAGGTAATGCAGGGAACCCTGCGCACAGGGCATCTGCCAGCACCTTCTGTTCAAAGTGGAGTGGCATCGCTGCCACCAGGTGACCGCAGCCTGCACGGAGCCAGCTGGTTCTCCGTGTGTGCGTGGGCCAGGACACGGGGTGTGCTGAGGGGTCTAGTAATACAAGAAGTGGGAGTTCTCGAGTGGAAGCCTGTGGACAGGATGGGCCTGGAGTGCACTTGCTCCCTGTCCAGCAGGAGACCTTCCTTCAGGAGATGAGAGGGCAAGGCCAGTGCTAGACAGACAGCTGAGGGACTCATCTCATGTCTGTTTCGGAAGAGCCCGTGGTCAGGAGCGGTCAGAGACTGCCAGGATTTCAGGCACACAGGGAAGACCTTCCTCAGGGTTGGATGCAGGTCAATAGGATGAAGGTTTAATAGGTTCCTAAGACACGGAGCCTGAGGGCCCACATTAAGGCTGCCTTATCCATCTGACAGCAGAGGGGACAGTCCTCCTGCCTTGCTTTTCCTCGCTGTGGCTGTTCTGATCCTGCAGAGCTGAGTTGTCACTTGTCTGTGCTGATGGTGAGAGGCCATTCCTAGACACCCCATCTGACACTTGCCATACCCTTGAAACAGAGAGTGACGGAGACGTTCCCGCCGCCGTGTGCCTGGTTGGTAGAGCTAAGGCACCACACAAGCAGGCGTACGCCACAGCCTCCTGGCTGACGTTTTTAATTTCAGGGTAACTTTGGAAAGCGCACACCTGATGCTTTCATGAGGTGGTCATTTCTAAGTCGTTCTAACAGAATAAAAGGGGATCCTGGTTACGTGGATATTTTGTGTAAATGATCTCCACGAGTCAGCCTGACACAGTCCTGGTTGTCTCGAAGTTGGGGGCAAAATTCACCGGTTCTCTTGAAGAATCACTCGGGCTGTGTTCGTCCGTTCTATATTGAGAAAGTACTAATGAAATTAGTCACTGCACAGGTCTTAACCTAAGCATTCTTTTCACTGTTGCTGTGGAAACCAGAAAGAAAAACATGGGTTGGAAAAGAAAAATAATCAGTGCTAAACATCAGTAAAATACATTGGCAGTAAACTGCTTTTTTTTTTTTTAATCCTGAATTTTTAAGAAATCACAAATCCTGGAACTAAGCTGAGAAGGTTCTGAGCAAATCATAAAACTGAAATCATGTGTCATTTTCCTCAGGGAAAAAAAATTATGGAAAATAAATGGTAGTCTTTTTTCCTCCTTCTTTTATTAATGAATTCAGGTGTGTGTGTGTGTGTGTCTGTGTGTGTGTGTGTGTGTGTGTACATGCATGCATTTCTGGCGTGCAAGGGATGGAACCCAGCACCCAGTTCCTGCTATGCACGTGTTTGAGCAGCGCTGGCCGATCGCTAATAAATTATTTTCACCATTAGCCGATTTCACAGAGCCACAGAGAGCACCAGCCGGACAGGGCACGTGTTTCTAACGGTCTAACCAGTCACTTTGCTTCAACAGGAAGAGGGTCTGGGTGACTCTTGGAGAAACAGATTCTTTCTGTTGGAATGTTTCTTCTGGTCAAGAAAGGGACAGGAGCGAACACAGTGTAGCAGCCTGAGCTGGGCTGTGGCGCTGTGTATGGTTTATCTCAGGGCTCCTGGGATGCTCTGAGGCAGAGGAGACCCTCTGCTCTTAGCTCTAGCTACCACCCCTTACGTGGAAGCCAATCAGAGCCCCATGCCATGAGGGTGGCTGCCGGACCTGCTTGTCAGCTGTGATGTTCCTTAAAAGGAAGGAGACTGTGCTTTGGGTGCCTTGTGTGATACTGGAGCACACAAGGATAGACAGGATAGTGGTAGAAAGATGCCAGGAATTTTGACCCTGCTTTTCGATGCTGTTGGCAGCAGAGCTAAAGCCTGGAGAATGAACGTGACCATGAACGATGGCTGACAGCTGGACCTGGCATGCCCCCTCTTCTCTCTGCATTTGAGTTTTCTTCCAGGTGTGTAGCTGCAATCCACTGCTTTTTACTTATTATTATTTTTTTTTTTTCCTGAGACAGGGTTTCCCTACATAGTCCTGGCTGTCCTGGAACTCGTTGTGTAGACCAGGCTGGTCTTGAACTCACAGAGGTCCGTCTGCCTCTGCTTCCAGGGTACTAGGATTAAAAATATACACACTTAGCCTTGCAGCCTGATACTTTGAACAACTTTTCTTTTATAAATTATTTAACGAGTGAAATAACTCTCTGCCTTAGAGTGTCAGGTCTGACCAGTTAAAATGTGCTTTATTAATTTTTAAATGGTATCCATTTTTATCAAAAGGAGCCATTTGCATTTCTGTGAAATCTCTCAAATAATTCATTTATATCTGTTTAAAAATTAAGGAGATTGTTTTGATAGTTCTAAGCCTGCAAAGCTTGGGGGCATTTATGTCTTGATACAAGCTGCTGGATTGTGTGTGTGTGTGTGTGTGTGTGTGTGTGTGTGTGTGTGTGTTTTAGCATGATTACAGATGTGTAGTGTAACACATAGGTGTCTGTGACAAGAATAAGCTGAAAAATAATATCAGAGTATCAATCACGTTGCATATACATTTTAATAAATTGGTAAACATCTGTTCAGAGGTGTAAAAACGAGCATCGTGCGAAGGCAGCATCTCAGGAATAGAACATTCTACATGTGGCTAAGTCCTAACACTTGTTCTGTGGTAGCAACTGTGAGCTAGGTGAATGGAGCCTGTAAAGCTTTATCGTGTCACTCACAAGTACAGTTCTGGAGACATGTGTTTTCCTTTCCATCCTTCTGCAGAGAGACGATCTCCCCGGGACATCATGCGGAGTGCTGCCAAGCCCTGGAGTCCAGTTGCCAAAGCAGGCAGCCATGGCCCTGATCGCCCTCGGCCCCTGCCCGGGACCCCTTCGGGCATGAAGAGTTCCAAGTCTTCAACCTCGCTGGCCTTCGAGTCCCGGCTTAGTAAGGTACAGACTTTCAGGGCAGGGCTGTGAGGATGCCCAGTGCCCTGTGTGGTGGGGATGAAGAGGGCAATCAGCGAATCCCAGCAGCTCCTGAGGAGGGGACCCAGAGAAACAGCAAGTCCTAACCCAAGGGAGCGGAGTAAATAGGGGACAGCGGGGTGCTCCAGGGTGGAGAAAGGACCGTGTGAGAGGTTTAACAACACACTCTGTCTTGGCTTAAGTGACTGCTCTGGCTCCCCTAGATGGGGGTCAGGGTCATATGTAACATCCGACTGTTTCTTTACTTGACTTCAAGGCTGATGCTGCCCTCCACCATGGACTCTACGTTTCGCTCCCATTTTCCTCCGTCTTCCTTATCCCCTTGGCTGCTAACAGAGGCCAGGCCTGAGTTTGGGCTCAGCTTTTTTCCCTGTTACGTTCACGCTCTGTGTCAGGGCTCTTCCCACGAGCCTCCAGCCCTTCTTTCCCATGCTGGGATGAAATTCACAGACAGTGTCACTAACCGCAGGCAGGCATTTGAAAAGCCAACATGCTAACCTGAGTGCAGAGTAAAAGAGAGGTGTTAAGTATGCTGTGTTTCTTTCTATCTGCAATGCCGAAGCATGACTGAACAAAGGCCCCGTGGTGCTCCTGAGAGCACCAGCAATACACCATAAAGGATGCTGCTGATGGGGAGGAGTGCTGAATGCTCTCGGGGTTTCCCAAGGCAGGGTGTATCATTCCTTCTCATTGTGATAGTTATGCACTTACAGAGGTCAAGGCATCAGGAACTGTGAGACAAATTCCTTGTCTTTGTATATGACATCAAGGCCCGAATGATAAACTAAAGGTATCCCGCACATGGGGTGTCCAAAGAATCAGTGGAAACTGGAGAGGGCGGCTTTTTGTACAAAGTTGTTGTCTGTATCGTAGACCATGTAAATTCCCCATCCTGCCACATGTTACTACCAGCTGCACATTTAATCCTGTTACCATCTAAAAATGTTCCCTCTCTTTTCTAACACACTCCCAGATAACAGGACTGTCCCCATCGGGAGCCATTTTCCAGTGACAGCGCCTGTTCTGTGGTTGGTGTAGAGATTTCCATTCCTAGCCCTGAGCCTTCTCACTGCCTTGAGTGTGGAACTGCTACCCCAGTGTAATGTCTCCAGGCCCATCTGTCAGCTCCCAACCTGCAACTCCTTGACCTACCCTTCTGAGCCAAGTGAAAGGGTCCTTCTTCCCTTTGGGTTGCTTAGACCCGAGTCCCTGGCATCAGCCTGGAGGGCTCCTCTGTTCACAATCCACAGTGCGTCAGAGAAAAGCCATTTCTTCTGCCTTAGGAAGAGATCTTACCTGAAGCCACTTACTGTAGCCTCTCCTGTGACCTCCTGGCCAAGGCCCCTCCTTTCCTGCTCTGGCTTCCCAGACCACGGCTCCGCTTTCATCTTGGTACTCAACGGATGCCGGAGGGGTCCTTCCAACATATGTACCATGTCAAGCCACGAGGTTCTGATGACTGTGATGAGTGTCCCTTGGACACTCCTGGAGAGGCGTATCTGCACTGCATCCTCTCTCTGCGTAGAATCATGTTAGGGGTCGTCCCTGAGTACTCTGTGTGCCATGCTCCTTGACCCCACCTATCCTCCTCAGCGTCCCCGGCAGCTCTTACTCCAGCGCACCTCTGGTTTGTTGGCGCCTGTGTTCCTTTGACTGGCCATGAGCTCCAGGAGGGCAGGATTGTGTGCTTTTGTCGCTGACAGCTCTGCTTACGAAAGTCCGTGCTGCCTCCGAAGCACTCAGTGTTTGTTACATGCCGAATCCCCCTGTTCTTCTGGGAGAGTCAGGGCCGCCTTCAGGGCGGTCGGACCAATCTGAGGCCGACTGCGATTCTGCACCTGTGAACTCTCAGGCAGGTGTTAGAACCACCTGATTTGTGCCTTCTTTGAACAGGAGGCAAAGCCCAACCTGCCACGACGAATTAATGTGGATCAAACATCTGACAAATAATTTCATTATTCTGTTGTCCTAGGCTCAATGATCATTTCTAGTATTTGTTGTTGTTTTTCAAGACAGGGTTTCTCTGCGTAATAGCTCTGGGGGTCCTGGACTCATTTTGTAGACCAGACTGGCCTCAAACTCACAGAGATCTTCTTGCCTCAGCCTCCCTGGAATTAAAGGCGAGCACTACCACCTCCCGGTTCATGGATATTCTCTTAATTGATATTATATTACATGAAAAAGAAATCAAAGAAAGAAATCATAAATAGCTGTACATTCTTAAAAACAAAATATAAAAGAATCACTCATGTCAGTTATAATCCTGTTTCTGCAACTGGTCATGTGGCCTTAGCTGTGTTTATAACTACCTTCCTCTGCTACCCATTCTTCATTTCCTCCACCCTTAGCAAGCAGGTAAAATAATGTTTTTTTTTTCTATAGCCCCCAAATAATGACACAGAGACCTATTGCATTTATTAATTAGCTTTAAAGCACTACAGCTGGGCAGATACTGGTCCATTCTAATCCGATTATGCTAGGCTGGCTGCTCCCCAGCAATGGGCTCCATGTTACTTGCCCTCTTTTAGTCTTGCCTTGGCTGCTTCTGTTCTGGCTGTCTGTCCTCATGGTGAACTCCTCTTCTGTCCTTTTTCTTCTCTGGTCCTTAACTGAGACTCTCTGATGAGAATAGAAGTCCGCTCTCCTGTCTTCTCTGCCCAGCTATAGGCTGATCAGCTTCTTTATTAACCGATCAGAGATGATGAAGAAAAAAACATTTATATAACATTGAAACAGGAAATTCTTCACAGAAATGACAGTGCCCACGTCTGGACTGCAACCAGATCTCGGGGCACAGAAATCAGCATCTGAATACATAGTGCACAAGACCAACCTATCTTTCAACATCATCAGGTCTTGGCTCTTTTCCTGAAGGAGTGACCCAGACCTTCATTCCTGATGGGTCTGTGCCCTTTGTCATCTGCCTAGATTAGGCTGTTGTACTTTAATCACTTGACACCAAGAGACACTCTGAAGGATCTCCTGCACTTCAGACATAAACTTTCTTACCTCTACTGTAGAAAAGCAGTCTAATTTCCCTGTGGTAATATGGATCAATCACCCTTCCTAACACTCCTTTCTTGGCCTGTTGTTGGCTTAAAGGCAGCAGAAGCCCAAAATGGCCAGGGGGAAGTCTGAGCTTCCAGTTCAATGGAATGTTTATTGTCTCCTGGCAGGAGTGCTCCCTGCCTCTGGAACCAAAACTTCTAGGCCAGCAGAACATAAGTTCACAGGAACAGGAAGTAAAATTTTTCCTGGTGGTCACTAAGGGTGATAGTGAGTGGAACTATTCCCCTTTTCATCTCTTGATTCCTGAACCTGTGGATCCTGGCTATAGGAGAAACTATGCCATATATTGGATACTGATCCAAAGAATATACTGCCTTCCGAAGAACCCTGTCCCAGCTTTCTAGGTTCCTGCCACCTAGCTGGTATTGTAATTGTGTCTTCAAAAGGCCATTCCATCTTTCTCTGAGGCCAGCTACTTCAGGATGGTAGAGAACATGGTAAGACCAGTGGATTCCACGATCGTTAGGCCCACTGTTGCGCTTTTCTGGTTGTGAGGTGAGTTCCTTAATACTGTATGAAATCCCATGATATTGAATAAGGCATTCTGTAAGTCCATAGACGGTAGCTGTGCCAGATACATTATGTGTAGGAAAGGCAAATCCATGACCAGAATAAGTATGTCCTCCAGTAAGGACAAAGCATTGTCCTTTCCACAGAGGAAGTAGCCAGCAGGACTCCCGGGGGATGGTGCCATCTCTGGGGCTCAGTGTTGGTTTCTGCTATTGGCAGATCTGGCACTCAGCAGGAGCTATAGCCAGGCCAGCCTTGGCGAGTAGCAGTCCTGTTGTCTAGCTCATGCATATCCTCCATCTCTACCACCATGACTGTTTGGTCCATGGGCCCATTGGTCAATGACAGGAATGGCTTGGGAAAAAGGCTGACCACCCACAGAACAGGTCATCTTATCTACTTGATTACTGACCTAGCTTAAAGGTACATCTTCCCATCTTGAAAGATCCAGATTAGAGGTGATTTTTGCCTACCTCAAAGGATTTACTTAAGAAAACAACAACAAAAACAAACAAACAAACAACAACAAAAACCATCTCAGGCTGGAGAGATGGCTCAGAGGTTAAAAGCACTGGTTGCTCTTCCAGAAGTCCTAAGTTCAATTCCCAGCAACCACATGGTGGCTCACAACCATCTATAATGAGATCTGGTGCCCTCTTCTGGCGTGCAGGTGTACGTGCAGACAGATCATTATATACATAATAAATAAATGTTTAAAAAAAAAGAAAAAGAAAAAATGTCACAGGTGCATCCAACCACTTAGGTTTTAGTTAATTCCAGATGTAGTCAGTTGACAACCAAGAACAGCCATCATGGGGCTGGAGAGATGGCTCAGTGGTTAAGAGCAGCCATCACAGTAGGCCAGGCTCAGCAAACAACTTTTTTTTTTAATTAAAAAATTAGTTACAGCTGGGTATGATGGCACATGCCTTCTCAGGAGGCAGAGACAAGTGGATCTCTGTGACTTCAAGGCCAGCCTGGTCTACAGAGTTTGTTCTAGGACAGTCAGGGCTACACAGAGAAACCTTGTCTCAAAATACATTTAAAAAAATAATAAAACAATTAATTCTAACCCATAACAGCACATTTTAAAATCTCAATTTTAAAATGAATAACTTCATTCCACCAATAATAAACTGAAAATATTTGATATGATTTCCAATAATATTTGGAAGATATTGAATATATTTTACATCGACGCAGAGCCTGGCTATATAGGTCTGAACTTGTACCCTTCCTGTCTCAGTGTCCTCAGTGCTGGGATTGCAAGCTTGTACCACCGTGCTTGATGCTCTTGCATATGTTTAGAGCAGTTTTTTAAAATTAAAATATTATTACCTCATTTCCCCTTTTCTTTCTTCCAGCCCTTCCTTCCATTCCCCAAC